CAGCAAGCTCTCTGCAGTAATTTTTGCTAATTGTTTTATTTTAAGCAAATGTTGAATCAAACGGTCATAGGAAGGCTGTGAGCAAACGTGAAGCTCCAGACTGGTCTGCAAGACTACCTGTCGTCTGCAGCTCTTCAGCATTCAGTAAGCCTTTCCTGTTTCCCGAGGGAATGCGTGTCTTGAGAGGCTATTTCATACTTAAAGCTCCCAGTCTCTTACAGTAAGAGTTCGATACCTGGGAAGCCAACTCCTGCTTTGAGCAGGAGGGTGGACTAAATGACCTCCTCAACTATCCTGTGATTCTGTGAAGTCCCTTATGAGGAAAGGAGTTGACTCAGCCTCTTGGAAACACACGAGGACTTAAGAGTCAGTAGTCCTGCTGTCCTGTAGGTATTTCTTTGTTCCTGTGTGAGATTCCTTCAACTCATAGTAAGGTTAACTATGAAACAATGTTCTCAGTCCAAAGATCAGAGATCTTGCCTGAGCTTTTCTTGATGGAGTCTCTCCCCTAGGAAGCTGAAAATACTGCGTTGGTACAGTGTGCCTACTAAAGCAGAGATCAAACTGAAGACAGAGGGCCAGTTGTTTTTCTCCGTCTGCAGGAGGGGATATATATTGATGGTAGCACGCTGTTCATGAGTAGAAGGGCTTCCCTGGTGTACCTGAGGAGCAGGCACACAAAGATCTAAGGGTGAAATAGGACTTCGTAAGAAATGCTCGTTAGGTTTGTCTGATGGCAAAGTATGAGTCGTGTCATGGGAAGTGCGTCTCTGCAGCATGATGATTTGTTGCCTCTCTGTAACTAGGCTACTGCAGCTTCAGCGACGAATTGCTCCACAGTTGCCTAAGGATCACCATGGTTGTCGGATGACAGATGTTTTAGAGTTGGCAAATCCCTTTGAAGGCGAATTTGCTGTGCCTTAAGAACTTGAGATTCTACTTAGGTCTTTTACTCGGCTGTCCTGCAAATCTAACTAGCCTCTTCTACCCCTTCCAGAAGTGGTCAGTGTGGAAGAGTTCATAAAGTACCATCTACCCTTCGTGTTCCAGAAACGTGAGATGCAGAAAAGTGTTCTTTTCTGAAAGCTGTAGCTATATAACAATGGACCTTTGTTTGCTCAGCCCTTGCAAGAATTTTCTTACTTCTTGCCACAAGGCACCACACAGTAGGGCAGGGGATTAGGTCATTTCCTTCCCTCCTCCTCTTCCTGCAGATTATTTGATTAACATTTCTATTGTATACTCTAATTAGCATGTTCTTGGCTTCAGGATGCTCTCCCGCCCCTACTCCCCCCCATAATCTCCTTAAAACACTGTAGTGTGACTTTATTAACTGTATAACATGGGAACTCCTTGCACAAAGATTACATGTGACATAACGCAATGAAAGATTAATGGGGCTGGCAAGTCAGTAACCTTCCCTCCTTTCTTCTTCCCCCGTGCACCTGGGGTTAGACTTCTGGGAACCCCCTAACAGTGTTAATGCTTTGCAATGCATGAAATGTTTGTCTTTTTTGGGTATCGTTGGCTTTGATCAGAGTTCAGCCACTGACTTTGTGGGAAACAGAGTTAAGGTGGTGTATAGTGCACGTTCAGCCTTCAGTATTGAGTGTACAAATGTACTTCCCCGTGGGGACCGTTACAGATCCTGGTCTTCCACGGGTTTATTCTCTTTTTTTTTTTCCCCAGTGTTTCCTTCAGTCTCCATTCCTCTGTACCCTGTGTGCAGCAATTTCAAGCACTTAATGCTCTGTGAGGTTTTTATTCTGCTCCCTGTCTCTTTTGTAAAACAAAGTTATCAACAGACATCTTTAAAATGTCTGTATTGAAATTTAGCAGTAATATACTGATGAGGTTAACTCTAGGATGAAGAGTTTGCCGTCCAGGCTTCTCAGCTGTCTGCACGCTAGAGGACGTAGCGTTGCCATTTGCCCGTATCTGCAAGGCTGTCTTTTTAAGTGATGTAGCTAGAAATGCATTCCTTTTCAAAGCTTATTTTGAATGTCATGTGAAATCATGTAATTATATCAAACTGTACAGCATCTGCTCATGAGTCAGATAGAAGAACATGACGATACAGCCCTTTATTTCTTTAACAACTTCAAGGAAAGAACCTCCCCTGCAGTTAAGCATCACTTCATGAAATTAGCAGTGATATCTTGGGCTACAGATGTCGTTGTTTTAGTCTGGCATGGTCGGCAGCATCTCCGCTCCAGGAAAAATCAGATAGCTTGTCTAGCAACAGCACACTTGAGGCATTTGCTTCCAGTCCTCAAGGGAGAGCACGGTTCTTGTGTGGAGTGGAAATCATTAAACCCTCCTCTTAATAAGTGAAGGGCAATGTTGATGCAAGAACAGATGAGTAGAGCATGGCTGTGGGTAAACATGGGGAGGGAAACAAAGTGGTTCAAACTCTGTAGGGTGAGGTTCAGAGGCAGCCACATGGCAGTGTGGCTAGGGACAAAATAAACCCTCCAAAAACCTGCCTTAAGGTGGGGCATGATTAGCTATGAAAAGGGGACTATGTGATGTATTTGCCTGGTAGCAGAAGGCTGTGCTCCGGTACGCCGTGGGTCACTAATATGAAGGCAGGTGGGGTGTGGAGATAAGGATTGTTATCTGTGGGAGGCTGGGCTGGGCAGTAGAAGACATGTCCACATGTCTGTAGCTTCTTATGTGGCTGTAGCATAAAGTAATCCACAGGTTTATTAATCTGAACTCTGAACAGTGGCATCTGTAAAGTGAGAAGATAAAAGAGCTCTAGAAGCAAATTAGCCTTAAGTTCTGCTTTTCAGAATGAACACTTTAGAAACAGTACAACTCAAGTGTCGCGGCTTGTGTGGGAAAAGTGATGTGACCTAGAAGTGGTCATACCAATGTAACTTATCGCTACAGTTAAATACCTGAATACAGAGCACTTTCTCTACTCTTGTTGCCATATCTGTGTGTTAAGTGATACTAATACAGTCCTGATGTGGTTTTCTTTTTTAAACTTTTTTTAAAAAAAACCTTAGCCCTGATTAAAAGAGTATTAAAGCTGCCAACCTTGTATAGACCAGGACAGAGTATAAAATACTTGAAGGTGATGGGGGAGTTGGGATGGATGACTCTTCCACCTCACTAAAAAGTGCCGTTTTAAGGTTCTGCAAGTTATGAGTGGAAAAGCTATGTTTATGTGCCGGTAGCATGAGGCTGTTGATTTTTGGCAGGGAGGAGGGCTCAACTTTAATCTCAAAATGTGGCTTGATGAGTCTGTGGCTTTACTGATGAGATTGATTCAGAAGGTTCCTATCCCCTCACTTGCATTGGTACAGTGGGTTTACAGAGTAAACCCACAAACAGATAAGCAAAATAATTTGGGTTAAAATAGTTGGGGTTTGTGTGTTGGTTTGGTTTTCCCCTAAGCCCTTTACCAGTTTATTAATCTGATGGCTGTGATAATGACCATGCCATCTCAGATCAGTATTCAGCAGCGTGTTTTTTTTGGTGGCCAGAAGAAGAGTGGGAACAAGGGAGCACCTGTACATCACTGTTTCTCCAAGCACTTCGCGGTGCTCAGCAGCTGTGGCTCGATCACTTCTGTGGAGCAAAGGGATATCTTTGTGCTTAGTAGATGGGCGGACACTATGGTAGTGTCTTTCAGCCTATGTATAGTTTTATTATCCAGAATATCCTATGGCAGGGTGTTCTGCAGTTCAGTTTTTCGGGTAGGTGACAAGATCCTGTACCAGGACAGTCTTACAGTATTACTTAAGGGAAGGCTGGCTGTGGAGTACAGGTTGAGGAGAGAGAAAACAGGTACGTGTTCATCTTGTTCTCAGCAGTGAAGCTGACTCACGTGGAGTTGCAGCTGGTGCTGTGTTGTGGCGTTATGCAGAAAAAGCTTGTTCGACGGTGCTCAGCTTTGAGTGCTGCTGAGTAGGGCGCTTGCCCTTCTCGCCTTCAGTTCTGTTGGTACGACTGCATGGCCATGCCGTGAGCTGAACTGGGAAATGGATCCGGCTGAAAAACAACCGAGCGGGTAAACCAACTTTTAAAAACATGAACAGATCAGGGAAACCAGTCCGTAAAGTTGTACTTGCAAAATTGAGGTGGCGCGGCAAGGAAGGAGCCGCAGAAATAGGAGCAATAGTCACCTGTAGAACTTGGGAGATGTCAGATGTCAGCCTATGTATGCATCGCTTGAGCCAGGGTAACCGTGCACACCTTCTTGGCCCACTACAGCTGTGATGTAAAACTCCACATAAAGGTTAAGCTCCTGCGTCATACCGTGCTTGCAGCAGCCTCGGAGCATTTGTATGATCAACTCTGAGAGGTGGTAACTTGGAAGCTGTAGTAACTTGATCACCATTTTATGGCTCAGACATTTAAATTGTCCCACCCACTGGCTTGATGCAGTGATTTCAATGTTAGTGGAAGAAGAAATGAGCTCAGAACCTGGTCTGACACGTGCAGAGTTGCCTTTCTAAACCTGCATCCTACAGGAGTGAGCTGTTGGAGCATCGTTGGCGCTGGGAGTCCAGTACACACAGGTGGTGTCTGCAGGTGTGTCCTGTGTCCAGCTCTGTGGCAGGAGTGAAAACGGGGATAGCCAGGCCTGAAGAGTTTCTGCTGGCTTAATTCTCACTGTATTAAGAAATCACTTTTTATGTGGGAGGTGAGGAAAGCTAGCTGGGCTAATAAATGATGATTTTTTTTTAAAAAAAAAGAGAAGAAAAAAGGTATAGCATGCATGGGTACAGTTATGTAAGAGAAGTGGAGAAGGAAATAGATCGGCATTTCTCAGAGATCCTCATCCTCAGAGCTGCCGAGGAATTGGGCTGCAGGATCGTTCTCAACACACCCTCCGCTTCCTTTTTTCCTTTTCGGGGCCAGAGATGGATGAGTTTATGGAGCGGGGAGCGGGACGCAGGCTCTGGCCCCAGCCAATGGTGCGTGGTGCAGTGGTGTTTACCTAGCTTACGCAAGGCAGAGCCAGCCCCTCTTTAGTCAGAAGGCACTACCCACCGCTAAGTAAAAGCACACAGAGCAGAGGCACTCAGTCTGGCAGTTGCTGGGGGTTTAAAGGAGTTGGTGGATTTCGGCTGGTTTTAAATGAGATCGAAAGAGTGGCTTTTTTTCTTCTCTACTCGGTAGAAATACTGAACGGACAAAAAGATACTGGTAAGTACTTTGCATGGCATCGCTTTTCCGTCCTAGTGTTGTATTGTTTCAGTCTCTCTTCTAAAAGCCTCCTCGGTTGCAGTGTTTTTCAGTGAGAAGTTGAAAGAGAGTTCAGTGATGTGGTTGAAAGGAAATCTGAGGACGGGCAGTGTGTCGGCGGGCTGCTCTTCCACCTAAAATAAGAAGAGACGTTCAAAGTGCATGTATAATAAATGCTTCTTGTTCCTAAGAAGTGTCAGTCGCTTCTCATTTTTAGAGTGCAGAGCAACATGCCTTGAAACTGTCATTGTTACCTAACGAAATCATACCAAGGGGAATTTCTCATGGAGCTGTTAAATATTTGTGTTCTCTAAACCAAAAAAAGGCTTTAAATGTAATTGTAACTCCTGGTTTTGCAAGATGATACAGTATGCTGTGTGAAAAGGCTTTAGTGTAATACTAACACCTATTTAGCTGATATTTTGGTACATAAACTGCCTCGTCAGGAAGTCAGAGGCTCATAAAAAGCAAAACGGTAACATTCGGATCTGTAGAACAAGAAGTCATTGTGGCTTTCTGCAAGCGCAGGGTCCTCGGCTGTGTCTTCTCGTTCAGGTGCATCAGGCAGTACATCTCCCTGGGCTCAGTCTGCAGGCCGTAAAAAGCTCCATCTAATCGCCTAACAGCCCTGTTAAAAATAACATGCCTCTGTTTTGGTATGTACTCTTAATCTGTATATGGAAGTTGTGCTTCTGTCACCGACCTGCAATGAAAGTTGGGACTGTGTATTTTTAAGGTAATACTGTGTAATTTGTCTGAAGGCAGTATCGAGGATAACATTTAAAGGATCCTGACTGCAAAGTTCCCTGTATCAGAACCGTACTTTTGCCGCATTGTACCAGTGTTGTACACAGTTTTTGTTTTCCTGCTTGTACTTTTGCGAGGCGCTCCCTGAAGATACAAATAGGTAGTGCTGTGGCTAATGAGCACCTAATGTTCTGCCAACATGCCTCTGTTGTATTGTTTTATGGCTTCATACATTACAGGTTACAGAAATAATCTTCACTTGATAATCTGAGTATGAAATCAAAACTATCCCTTTTTAACAAAACATGCTGAGTTTGTAGTAACAGCCGAAGTGCGAGTACAGCCAAAAACTCGCGTAGAAAGCTGGAAATCCATCTTCGTCGGGAGCTCGCGTGAATAACTTCTGCAGGTCGCTGAGCTGATGGAGCAGGTACAACCTGTCGCGTTGGGCCCTTGTGCCGCAGGAGCGGTCACGGGGGGGCTTTGCCTCCTGCATCGTCACTGGTATATCCGAAAGCTGACGTGGAGGACATGGGTGGTAAGGGGGTGTAGGCTGCATGTAAATGCAGCAGTTGAACCAGTGAAGAACTTTCTCAGCTAATTAAGGTTATAGCTAATATTGCAGTGACAGCTTTAAAATAGACACCTTGTGCTAAAAGACAAATGTTTTCAGCTTCCCACACGCAGTCTGAATTACATCATTTATAACCTGTAGGAGGCTATCGTGGTTTCCTCAGGGGAGGATCAGCTGTTACTTTTCGTAACTGAAAAAAATGCTGGATTTCTTTTTTTTTTTTTGCAGGGGAATATTTTCAGAATTGTTTTGTCAATCTGTCGGAGTGGATTGTTAGCGGTTACATAAATCTTCCAGGTTTGATATGCCCAGCCACATCCTCATCCCATCGATGGCAGTTTGGAGTAACAGGACTGAGGTTAGCAGAGGGCTGATTGAAGTCAGGCCCCTGTGCCTAGACCTTTTTTTCCGTCTTCTGAACAGGAGTGCTATTTTTGAGTACTGTCATAAAGTACCCATTTTTATATAGGGGCCTATAATAGAAGTCTTGTTCTAAAACACTTCCCTTGTTCATTGAACAAGGTTGCTTGTCCTCACAGTGCTGTTCCTGACTTTCCTAAAATTGCTGAGAACTGCTCAGACTCGCTTCTGAGGCTGAGAGAGAACTTGAAGCAGGACACTGGATGCCAATCCAACTAAAACTGCTCTTTCTTAGACTGGAAAAAGTTAGCTGTAGCCTTGGTGCACAGCAGTAGGGTTGCTCTTGTGTACCAGGTGAATGCCCCATTGAAAGTGTCTACAGGCAACATGCCTTTTTTTGTGTGTCTGTGCTGTGATTCTTGCATGACTTGTTTCCAGGATGACCAGTCTACTAATGGCAGATCTCCGTGGTAAAAAGATGCTTTCATTCTGTTTATGAGAATGAAAAACCCTTTTATTGAGATTTTACAGATGTTCTCAAGACGCAGCAGCAGACAGTTGTTTGCATTGTTTCATGCTTGGTATCCTGTGCAGGAGAGACTGCTTGCTCATTTCAGAGCTTGGCCTTGTTGTCTTATTTTCAGTTCTTTCATATCATAAGGCACTCTTGTGTGTATGGTGGATGACTAAGCTTATTCAGAGGTTATAAAAGAAAAGGCGGACGGTATAGCCTTAAGTCTTTCCTTATAAGACTAAGGAAAGAATAAGCCATACAAAAGCAAAATGCTGGAATGATTTTTCCACACTCCCAATGCTTTTTTTTTTTCAGTGCTGAAAATCTCCCTTTTTGAGAAAGTAGAAAATTAATTATCCTTCCTTAGAAAAGTAAAGTAGGGCTGCTGATCTGAAGTGACAATACAATTTGAATACGTAACAGCTGCATCACTATACCTTTCCTGTGCGTCTGTCGTGAAGGCTGCAAGCTGTAGACAGAATCTGGCTTATCTCAGAAGTGGAATGTAAAACCTGTGGAACTTAAAGTTCCAGGTATGTGTGAAGGAAATGTGAGCTTGTTTTTAACTGGAAATGGGGAGAAGTGTGAAAACTCTGGTTGATAAACACATACTCTTCTTCATGCTGTTTTACCCAGGTAATTGTGTCAGTAAAAAACTGTTTTAATAAGAGCTTCTAAGAAGATGGCTAGGAAAAACAGTTAAAGAAGAGGAACTTTCCAGTGGTAATTTAACCATCATGTAGAAGAAAGTGATTTCTCAATCTTTGCCTCAGCTTTCAGAAACATAGTGATCCAAGGAGCTGATGCCTTGTTGCTCGCACCAGTGGAGATCAGCAGTAACGTCACTGATCTTTGTGAAATCTGGCAGCCTGGACTTGATGGGGACTTGTAATCAAACAAGAAGTCAGGCTGCTGGGAATTACCTTGGGTTTTTTTGTTTTGTTTTGTTACGTGCTTTTACTTCTCTTGCATTACTTACTGCCTCTTCCATGCTTGCAAATACTTCATCTTGAGAGACTAGTATTGTGCATGGATCCTTTGTGTCTCACAGTGACTTTAACGTTGATATTCTGGTCCTTTCAATCTGGAAGTCAAGATTTTGCCTTTGAAGGGATGAGACGTAACCATAGAAGAGAATATGCAGCACTGAAATACCATGCGTGCGTTCAGAGGAGTTTGGTTTCTGATCTTGCAGTCGCAAGATTGCCCAGTGGGAACTGGAGTGGTAAAGAGCTTGAATGTGTAACTGGATGTTGGCAAACTTGGGTCCTGCTTGTGTTTTGTCGGGTAACCGCGCTATTCAGTGCAAATTCTTTGAAGAGCAGTATGAGGTTTTAAATCTAATTAAAGCTTATAGACAGTAATGGGTAAATCTCAGGAGGACAAGGATAAAATTTTGTTTTGCTGTAGTGGAGTTGCTCATAATTTATGTCTAGTTGATCAAAAGTGCACCTAAGGTGCATATTTCAGTTGCTTGATAAAATTGTGTTGGGCTTCCTAAAATGAATTGTATTCCTAGAATAATTTAGGTTGGGAGGTTGTCTGGTCTGGTCGCTCTATTCAAAGCAGGACTGGGCTGCCTTAGGTCAGGTTGTCCGGGGCCACGTACCGCTGAGGTTTGAGCATCTCCAAGGATGGAGATGCCCCGGCCTCTCTGGATTGTTTGTTTGTTTGTTTTTCCCTAGTAGCTAATCAGGATTTTCTGTGTTGCAGCTTGCTTGTTGCCTCTTGTCCTGTCACTGCATACCTGTCAGGAGGACTGGATTGTATTTTGTCCGTATCCCCCTGATTTAACACAGAATTGCTGAGAGAAGAGCAGAATATGAGAATTGCAAGGATAGTAAATGGAGAACTACAAATAGCAAATACTATAAAAATAAAAACTTCAGTATACAAACTGCCTTGTGCTTTATTTCTAAAAGCCCCCAAAAATCCAAACCTTGGAATATGTAGTTATAGAACATAAAGAAGATAATATTATAAAAATGGGAAGAAAAAAATCCAATTTTTGCATCTGAATCAGCATATTTTTATTTTAATATACTCATTGACAGAGGACTTCTTTTTATACTGTGAAAGCGGTTTTTTTAATGCAGTATTTTAGAAAAGGGCTAGTCTGGCACTGGCTACAGTTGCTAGCAGCCTATAATGCTGGCTCTGTTTAGAAAATGATGGTAATTTATTACAAAGAGACTTTTATTCTAGTATTTTTAGCTCACAGCCGAGTGTTTAATGAATCTCTGCTTGGGCTCATTGAATTTATGTTCTCCCCTCCCCCTGCCCCACTTTAACCATTAAGATGCTGTTCTTGCTGCAATTCCAAAAGCTGTATTTGGTCTACTAAACAGCAAACTTATTCACAAGGTGCTGTGCCTTAGCGCAAACAAGATCTGAAGACTTTCTGTAGAAGCCACCAAAGACCAGTCCTGTATGAGTCTCATGATCAGAAAAGGCAGCTGAATGATTCAGGATGGCTGGTAAGCTAAAGCTGATAGTTCAAAACCAACCAAAATTCTTTATAGCTCTGTCCCCCACTGAAAATGGCCTGTTCAGTGAAAGTGGGCAGACTCTTCAACCCTTTGTGTGCTCTGAAGCACGGTTTGCGAGGTCTTCCCGCGGAATAGTCTGCCTCTAGATTCAGAGACGAGTGTTTGAATGTGACGGGAGAGAGTACAATGATATGGCTTCTCCTTCTACTCGAATGTGGTCAGAAATCTGTGGCTTGCTTTCTGCCATAGCAATCTTTGCCTTCTGTGACTCAAGTAAATAATGAAGAACAAGAGGGCTTGTAAGAAACTGGATTATTGTTCCTAAACCAAAATTTAAATACTTTTCTCAGTTTAAATGTCATCTCTTTCCAGTCCCTCAAAACAGTTGCACATGACAGTATTGTGCAGGTTACCTTCACTGAGCTTTCTCCTGCCTCCACAGGGACCAGTGTTAAGAATAAAAAGGTATTACTTGTTTATGAGTTCTTCCTGTTCCTTTTTCCTATTTTTGAGACTGAAAGACAGTGGTACCTATTGTGGTTTTGTGCTAACTGCAAACAGTTGTGCTCACCTCTTACCCAACCACGTAATGCCTTTCCAAAACAGTTTTTTTCTGTGTGCACATTGCTTTACTCACAAAATCTTTTTCGTTCTATAATACAGGACTGTGCACAGGTAGAGGTTTTCAGGCTTTGGTCTCTTCTCTGTAGCAGAAGCAGAGATGTAGACATGAAAAATTTGCAGTTGTCAGTTGTATGATTTGCAAGAATGTTGGATGGGGTGGGATCTTGTAATTAACACCTTATTCCTTGTCAGTGCTGAAGGCTCTTGGAAGAGTTGAGTCTGTTGTTCAGAACCTGCTCCAATGAAACCCACTCCACTGGTGTCTGGAGATGCTGCTGCAAAAAGCAGCAAAACCCAAACTTGCACATATTTTGTTCCAGCAGTCAGTTCCTTAGTTGTATGCTGGCACTTCAGGGCCAAGTTGTCTGTTTAATGTATTTAATTAACCTTTTCTAACGCTTTTGTGTTAGTAGTTGTGAAAGTGATGTGTGCAGCTCGTAAAGCTCAGATGTATCTAAAAAAAGAAATCTAGTTCAAATATTCAAGCCATGCTTTTGAAAATGTATGGGCAAGCTGTATTACTAGCGATAGCTCTGGATTTGTAACTCTTGAACCTTCCTTAAGTCAGATAAGAAGTGGACTTACATCATATGTGCTAGTCCCAAAACAAACTTGGCTGGATTTCTTTAAATGTGAAACAAAAAAATGTATTAAGGGGGAGCCAAGCATTAGATGTTGGACGCTTTTCTTTATACAAAGATTTTCTAGTTAACTACTTGCAATGATGACTGTCACTTGGGACAGTTGGCCCCTGTTATGGTTTCTGCTCAGTTACTTCTTAAGAGGATGTTAGTGGCCACCTGCTCAGGTAACTCTTTAGAGTCTCCTTGAACTGTTCAGGTGGAATTGCTTTTAATGAGACTCAGAAGCTGACTCTGGGATTGGGCCATGTGTTTTTTGGCTTTCCATGAAATTGTTCACTTGGGTGAACAAAGGAGAAGTTACACCAAACCTTTTCTTGTGCTAGTGGCAAAACTTAGTACTTTTTAGTGCTTGCTTTCCCACCTACTCTAAGTGAATGGACTAGCTCTTTATCAAACACCGTAGTGTTGGGTGGATACTATCAAATCTTTTTTTACCCTGTCGTGGTATTTCCTAGTCCTATGCTATTTCCTAATGGGCAGTGCTATGGATTTCGTAGCAGTATTTCTCCCGAGTTGTTAAATGTCATTGCAAAGGATAACCATTATGTATTCTAGCAGACGAATGTAAAGCATTGCATGTGAAATGCAATGGTCAAGATGGAATTAGTTGTACGTGGAGAAGAGTGAATTGCAGGGGAGAGGCTGCCAAGGAGATCAATATTCAAGTAGAAAATAGGTTAATCATTTGGGGAGGAGGTTAAAACATGAGGAGCTGTTTATGTCAGTAAACCACCCCCGCGGTGTCTTCAGAGGCACCTGATTTCAGAGGGTTGCTGGTGTGGTGCTCCAGGGTGGGGTTGTAGTGCTGGGAGGCAGGGAAGACCCCAGATGGCCATATCAAATTTGTGAACAGAGTCAATGCGCTGGGGCTCTGTCTATCAAAGGGAACAATCTCCACTTCGATGTGCTATGACTACTGCCATGATAGGAGTTTAAGGTCACATTTTCATATGAGGAGTTTGCTTTAAATTCTTCATTTTAGAATTTTAAAGGCAAAACCTCGGACTCCACCTACCACAGTAAGTACCCTCACCATCCCAGTTAAGTTACTGCTACACGTGCGTCAGCAATCTAGAAATGTTTTGAAGCAACGTATACTGCTTTGAGCTCTCCTGTGCTGCTGTTGCTGTTCCCGTGTGACGAATGGGGACTGTTGGATCTGTGTCAGGCGCTTTCTGCACCAGTTAAATGATGGATACCCTAACGCTTGAACCAGGATAGCTGCCTAGTGAAAATGCACGCTGCTTCCAATGCAACAAAAAATATATTGGTGTAACTGTTGTGTAGACTGGACACGGACACTTCACAGTAGCGTTGTGCCGATGAGGTTTAGTACAATACGCTTACATGTCTGGCAGTGGTCAGGATTCCATTGTGGTCATGTTACATGTGTGCTAACCACAAAGACAGTCTTCAGTTAACATATTTAAAGCACGATGAAATCCACAGGACCCAGACTTGACAGCAAAGGAGAAAAGATTTGGAAAATAATGAGAAATGAAAGGAAGAAGAAAGGTTTTGGTTTACCTTCCTGGTTGTGTTCTGCAGGCATCGCAGCAAAAGTTTGTAGGACAGTAAACGCCTTTGCGTGTATTTGTGTGAAGCCCTCCCACATATGTGGGATAGCATGTAAGAAAGCGTGAAGGAGCATACTGAATTTTCAGAGAGTACTGTGAGCTCTTTGCAGGTGAGGGTCAACATATCCACGCTGAATTAAGAAACTGGTAGATTGAGAAGAGATGTTGAAGGCCAAGCTTCTCTGTGAAGGAGCAAAGAGGACGAGGAGAGGGTAGAGATCAGGTCAGTAAAGGGATCTTTGCTTCAGCTTCTGAGCGAATGTGAGCAGGGTGTCAGGCACTGCCACATCCTTTTCTCTGTTGTTAGGGCATAAGATGGGGTTAGATAAAATCTGCGTGGTGACATCTTTTTCTGCTGCTATCTACAGTCTAGTTGAGGTAGAAGAAAATGGAGATACAGTGTTGTAGTTGGGATCAAAATTGATCACAGGATTCCAGAAATTCCATACGTGGGCCAAAGTGTGTATTTGAACAGATGACAGACTGTTAACCATCAGTACTGAAATAGCTTAATAGCTTTTTGAGTTGGTATGAAAACTTACCTGGAAGGACGAAGGGAATGTTCTTATTTCTGTTAAAGAAAGCCTCGAATAGACTAGCATCAGCTTTATTCTGCATCGAGCAAGTGCCCTGGTGGGTGGGCTTTCTCTACAGGAAGGTCAGAGATGGGTCAGGTAGGTCAGAGGTGTCTGGAAACATCACTAATAACAAGCTGCAAAACAATACTAGTGTGAACTCTTCCTCAGAGCAGAAGTATGACGAAAAATTGCAATTCAGGAGACTCTTCTTGTTAAGAATTATGTGGAATTCCCTCAGGAAATCTCCTTCAAACAGCTGTTTGTATCCCTTCCATCTCTGGTTAAACATGAGAGATCCCATTGCACACCCCAAACGTGTCTGGTAGACTCGATGTCAAATTGTCACACAACTTACTTCCATCTGCAAATCCAGAAATTTCTTGGAAAGCTCTGAATTGGATACTTTCCTCTTAAACTTCTACCTCTCTAGCTAATGGATGGGTCTTGCTTTGTGGGTTTTTTGGGTTTTGTTTGTTGGGGTTTTTTTTCCCCTTCAAATTTAATCCCTATCTGGCCCTACTTCTTGATAGTTGAACCAAACATACTAAACGAAACTGTATACCGTTTATACTAAAAACTAGCATGAAGGAAAACAACTGTGGATGCTTTATCAAGGCCATACTGGAATTTTCTAAATGCACTTGTGGGGTTTTTGTGATCTGGTAGTTATTCCAGGCAATTCAACCTTAATTGATGTGGTTTTATATGTATGTCTTTAAAATTATTTCAAGCAAAACCAAAATATGGAACAAACAAAATACTGTACCCGTTGTATCAGATAGGTGTGCAGGTTTGTGTAGTTGATGGATTTGGGTCTTTTCTTTTGCACTTAATTTTGTCTTTGTTTTTACAGGAAATAATGAAAAAAGTGTGCCACAACTCTTGATCAGAGACCTGAAATTTGAGAAGAAATCATTAGCTAAGCTCATGTTTTCTCCTGATCAAGAAAATCATCCGTCAAAAGCACCAGTAAAATACGGTGAATTGATTGTATTAGGGTAAGTGTTTGTGTCATGGCTGGAAGTGAGAATGAAGGTAGAATTTCAGGGTGCAGTTAAAGCAGATAAAATGCAGGTTGGTGTGAGATCGTCCCACAGCCTACCGCTTGAACTCCCTCTTTTGCCGTCTGTCTAGGGAGTGTGCCACTGAATAGCAAGCTGATCGGCTTGTCTTTGGTACCCGATCTCACGTAAGGGAGGGAGCGGAGGGAGGGCTGTCTTTTTCAGTGGCAACCAGGTGTTATACTTAATGTGATATATTGGAAAATTGCACTGCAGTATGCATACTTTTTTATGACAGAAAGAGCATGGAGGTAGGGCTCTAAACACTTGAGTAGATGGAAGTTGATTTTCAGCTCTTGTGTTCTTCCCAGGTAAGCGTTTCGTGACAAAGGCAGCCAATTTGTGAAGGGTTTCCCAGTTGGTTCCAGGTTGGGCTGAGGCAGGTGACTAACGTGATAATGTGGAAGGAGAGGTTCCCTAGGACTTTAAGTAAAATAAAAGCAGTTTTATAAGAACGTAGTAGCTAACTAAAATATCTAAGTGTAAACAGAAGATTTTAATAAAGCAAGTTTGCCAGTTAGCCTGTTCATGTTGACCTGTTCAAAGTGAGAGTCTGAGCGTTTTCTAATGGATTAAATTGGAGTGTCAGAGGACAGCATTACCTGTTTCTTAGGGGGTTTTATTTCAATCAAAATTCTCTAAAATACTAGCTCTCCACCAGGGTTGGTGAGTATTTAGAATCTTTCATCTACACCATGAACGCATCATTTAGAGATAAAGCTACAGACAGGCATATAACCTTACTTGTTTTCACATTTGGGACCCGAGTGTGTTTTCACTTGTCTATTGTAGCTTTGAGATTAATCTGGGTAGTATTATTTGCCCTACAAGCGTTGTGTGTATACACTGTAATTCGGTGAGTGTGTTTCAATATTGTGTTTATCAGTTCTCAGATTTAAATGTGATTAATTGAAAATCTGTGATTATTAACACCGTACTAAATAAGAAGACTTTGTGCTTAGAATGAAAGTTCTTGTGGGTCTGTATCTCATGAGAAGCTCAGTAATACAGGAAGATGGACTTTGTTCTTTTTCTGTGCTTTTTGATAGGTACAATGGGTCTCTCCCAAATGGAGATAGAGGAAGAAGAAAAAGTAGGTTTGCTTTATTTAAAAGGCCCAAGGCAAATGGGGTGAAACCTAGCACTGTGCATATTGCCTGTACCCCTCAAGCAGCAAAGGTAAGCTTGATTTGTCTAGTTACGTCTTTCTTCTCCTGATACTGTTGAAAGAGTTCAGCGAAGTCAGGGCTGTTATGCTGAGATGAAATGACATAGAAAGCATGAAGTTCTGGCTGAAGAAAGAATGGTTGATGTTTATCCAAGGTTTTTTGGTACCTGTCAGGGTTAGCAAGAAACCGTTCAGCAAAACAAATCTGGTGCCCAGTCCTTGCTGTGTCCAGAAAGAAAAATATTTATTTTTGAAACATGAATGTTGAAGGCACAGGCTAGTCATGTAAAACACTTTCTGTTTGTTTTCCTTCCAAACTCACTGCAGACATCTGTTCTAGACTTCCTGTTTTCACACTCAGCCATGCTTTAGGGCTAGCTTTGCTTCACGTGAAGCTGACTTTTAAATGATCCTTTGCGAGAGCTCTGTGTGCACTTGCTACTCCATCCAGTAAGTAGGAGTTCCCCAGGGATGAGGACAAGTGGGTTTTGCTGGGCATGTTTTATAGGGCTTGTAATCAGCTTCAGAGTTCCCATTAACAAGCAGGAAGGGCTTAGGTCCTGAAGTTGAATTGTATTTCATGTCAAAGCTAATACAGCTAAGGTATTACCATGACATGCTTCTGTATTGTGGCGATTCAAGTGTATGTGCAATTATGTTCAATAATAAATGGAGCATTTCTACTAAAACAAATGGAATTTGAGAATGCTTAGTGGTGGTGTAGGGATCGCCATTGTCAAGATCAGGCCCTTGAACAAATACAGTAGTGTTAAGTGTTTGACTCCCTAAATACCTTGATGCTCAGGAATATTGATTCTTACATTCAGGGAATGGCATAAAGTATTCTGAAATCAAGAGTGTTTTTCTAACCAAAGTTCTTGTAATAGAACTACATCTATAGGAGATCTGTGAAAAGAACATTTGCTTTTGCTAATTTTTTATGGTCTTCAAGCAAGCGCTATTTAGAAGCACTTTTGGAAGAGTGTTTGTTCAGTTCCTAGTAGGTAGTTGCAGAATGAAAATCTAGACTAACAAACTGAAACCTACATTATTACTTCACTGCAATTTCTGCAACCAGTGCTGAGTTTCTCCATTTTGCCCTGTTTACCACCACTACTTGTGTTTTTTTGTCGATGTACCTTATTAGTCATCACTGATTTTATTATGAACTCGGATCTCGTTTTTAGAATGAAGTCTCTTAAGTTTTTGTCCTCATTTGCTGATGAAGAAGTTCAGGCTGAGAAGGCCATGAAGCTGTTACACTCAGTTTTAGCCTTTGCACTCGGTTGTTTTGCTCTTTTGTGTTCGGGCCAGCGTTGCTTTAATGTGAAGCATGACTAATAATATGTCTTGGTTACGTGTATTTTGTTGCAGCGTGCAGTGAAGAGACCAGTTTGGTCTGTTGTTGAATCAATCCTGCAGCTTTTTTTTAATGGCCAGGACTGGTTTTTGTAAAGTTTAACTACAGGTGTGTCACTAACAACCATCTGCCTTAATGGAGTACTTGAGCAGAACAACCGCCTGGTTATAGATATTGTCTGCTTTGCTGCTGTATTCCGTAGAGTTATTGTTCACTGGTTCAATAATATTTGGCATTTTTTCCATAGGCAATAAGTAATAAGGACCAACACAGCATATCTTACACTTTGTCTCGGGCCCAGACAGTAGTAGTTGAATATACACATGACAGCAACACAGATATGTTCCAGGTATGTGAAGTAAAGATGATATATAAATGTATTCTCGCTTTTGGTAGTTTCTAACAAGACATCCTCTCAACAGGCTTTTTCCCTCAGACCCCAAAGTTTGCATATGTCGCCTTCTGCACTTTACTATTCAGAGACCTTCAGTTCTGTTCACTCCCAAGGCCATCACGTGAACAAGGCTGTGCATCGCTCTTAGGCTTGGTCAGAGGTGAAAGTTGGTTCTTTGTGACTAATGCACAGGATTATGGTTTTGCCTTGGATTGCTGGTCTGCAAGTCACGTAACCTGTCTTCTAGTCTCTCCTTGCAAAATGAATGAAGTGCACAGTTCTCTCTAAGCACTGGGAACTTTGCTTCTAGCATTTACGAAGGGATTTGGCATCAGCTGGTTGGAGACAGGATGGAGGAAATACAATGTGAAAATGCAGGAAAGCTTTTGAAACAACTAATCTGAAAAATACCTGTAACTCCTTTAAGCAAACACAGAAATTAGTCTAAAGTGCTGGGAAATGTGGAGAGAGGAGGCCCGCTTCTGATGTGCTGGCAGTTCACAGCAGCTTTGCTGCAGTTCCTGTATGAACCACAAACACATTTGCAGCTGTGGTGTACGCTCATATCTTATAATTGTTTCCTGTTTTTCTCAAAGGGAAGGGTTTTGTTTAGGGGCATTTTTTGTGTGCTTTCTTCCTTCTGATTCCTGGACTGATCTTGCATTGATTTTTTTTTTTTTGATTTTTTTTTTTTTGGGTCACTAATTTATGGCAAGGAGTTTTGCTGTCACAGCATTTAGCTGTGACGCCACTGCAGGATCCAGGGAGGTGGGAGGTGTTGGTAAGCGGTGGAGGAAGCTGCTGTGCAACTGCAAGTACCTACAACAGAGCAAAAGGGCTGTAACCAACTAACTGCAGCATAAGCTATTGTTTGTGTAAGCGTTCTCTCTTCAGGCATGCTGTGGCACGTATGCTGCTCTAAAATTGCCAGTGGCAATCCCTGTGTACTGATGGGTTATGCTGCTGAAGAAAACTACGTTCTGACAAAGCAGTTTCAGTCTCATGAAAGCTCTTCAGCCTTCCTCAAAAAGCACCTCAGGCTTTTGGGTCTCCTGCCCAGCAGTTAATCAGTCTTTAATATAACCAGCTGTTTTATAAGAGGCTAAGAGCTCTGGAAGTGAGTGAAAGTAGTAGTGTGTAAGTGGGCTTTAAACCTGTTTACCATGGATGCTTGGGAGAGGGATATAACTTCTCTTCGTACTTCATAAGGAAAAGGACAAGATGAGTTGACTGGAAAAGCAGTGAAACTCAGTGCAGGGGGTGTGTGGGACTGCAAAACTCATCCTTCCATGCAACCAGAAAAGAAGGCCCAGCTACTAGAAAAATCTGCTTGTAGTCAGATGTTGCATTCTTGTTGTGTTCTGTGTGCACATTAATGTAACCCCTCCCCGCCACAAGCATCTCGTACCTGGTCTTTCCTGACAGATTTGCTGCTTCGCAGTGCCCCACCAGAGCCGGAGAGTCAGCACACATGATCTAATTTTCCTACATGTACACCTCCACCTAATCTGGCATTGTTCAGAATATTCTGGGCATGCAAAGTGAGCAAATATCGCTTTTCTTCCATCTGACTGCTGTTTCCTAGCTGTTTTGGTGCTGCTGCAGCTGGTCCGGCTGACCTGAGCATAACCTTTCTGATGAGAAGGCCTTCAATGGGAAATCGTCTCAGAATTGACTTAATTACATCATTTTATTTCCCCTTCCTTCAGTTGGCTGTACTCAGCCTTCAGAATAACTTTGGTCACATGGAGGTGCAGTAACTCATCAATTCTGATGAGGCTTTAGAAATCTAAATTTAGATTGGTGGAGGGGAATGCTTCAAACTGGAATGTTGTGATATTTTTCTTGATCACTTTTAAATGTTTTGAGTTTGAGTATACATAGACCCAAAGGCGAACTTCTAAACAGGTTGGTGGTTGTTTTGGTTTTTTTAATCCCTTTCCAGATTGGTCGGTCAACGGAGAGTCCTATAGACTTTGTCGTGACAGATACAGTTCCTGGAAGTCAGAGTAATTCAGATACGCAGTCTGTGCAGAGCACTATATCAAGGTTTGCCTGCAGAATCATATGTGAACGTAATCCTCCTTTTACAGCAAGAATATATGCTGCAGGATTTGACTCCTCAAAAAACATCTTTCTTGGGGTAAGGGAACTCTTGCTTTTTTCCCTCTGAGATCAGTGCAGGCTTATTTTTAAACTAATTCATAGCTCTACTTCAGCCAAATTAAAAGTTTTCATTGATGTGATTTCTCTTAGGAGAAGGCTGCGAAGTGGAAGACCTCAGATGGGCAAATGGACGGACTGACCACAAATGGAGTTCTTGTTATGCATCCTCGTAACGGATTTACAGAAGACTCCAAGCCAGGGGTGTGGAGAGAGATATCTGTGTGTGGGAATGTGTTCAGCCTACGTGAAACCAGATCAGCTCAGCAGAGGGGAAAAATGGTAAGAGCAGCAACCGTTGTTTTATGCAGCCTGTTTAAAATGGGTGCAACTGTAAGTGGTAAAGCTTGGGCATAAAGAGAGGCTGGAATCTGCCTCATTCAGCGTGGATGTCACTTCTGTAATTAGTTACACTGACTTCTTATGTGTCTGTCTTCAGATGTGAAGGTGTCTTGCTCAACCAGAGTAACTGACAGAGTTTATTTGCGAACTAGTGCTTAATTCCAGATCTAGACTGCTCTCCTAAATTGAGTTGCCAGTCTACTGTGCTCTTCTGCAAACTGTCATAGTCATGCACACATTTTAAAGAGTTATTTTCCTCATTCTCCCTCTTGAGTTTATGCTTTTTCCTTTTTTATAGAACAATAAAGAATAATTATAGTTCTATTGACACATGCCTATATACCTGAATATCCGTTTCCACCTTGGCATTCTGAGTTTTCCTCTCCCTCTTGTTTCCAAAGCATTGGTGACATTTCCAGGAGATGCTTGGTTTTGGTATGACTTGGGATCTCTTACCAAAAAGAAATGCTACATGAACACTTATTTAAGTGATGCATTTAGCTAGGAATGCTAACAGCTGACTTTGGAGAAGAGGAAAGCCATGTGTTTGAAGAAAACAGTCTAAAACATGATGGAGGACTAAACAAGACTTGTGCCGTTCCTCCTTGATGCATTTCAAGTAACATAGTTGGGAATGCTATAGGGATGGAGTTGAGAAGTTGTAAAGGCTGGAGAGGAGCTTTTCACGCCTTAATTATTTTTGATGTACATCTTAATCTCTTAAGTTTGGAGGTTTTGCTAAAAAAAAAGAAAAAAGGTGGAGAGAGAAGCTGACACTGGGCTCTCTACGGGTATGTTACAGGACAGTCAGAAGCTGGTTGAAACTTTTTGTCTGGCTCTTCCAGGCAAATTTGTATTATGAAAGTGCATGATGTTATTCTTTGGGTAACGTTAGGTGAGACCTCTCTTTCTCTTTGTCCGTCACAAGGTTGAGAATGAAACGAACCAGCTGCAGGATGGCTCTCTAATTGACCTGTGCGGAGCAACGCTGCTGTGGCGCACCGCCGAAGGGCTTTCCCGCACTCCTACTGTCAAGCACCTGGAGGCACTAAGGCAGGAGATAAATGCAGCGAGGCCCCAGTGTCCCGTGGGGTTTAACACCTTGGCATTTCCCAGCATGAAGAGAAAAGATGTTGTAGACGAAAAGCAGCCGTGGGTGTATCTGAACTGCGGCCACGTCCACGGCTATCACAACTGGGGAAACAAAGAGGAGAGAGACGGCAAGGATCGCGAGTGTCCCATGTGCCGCTCTGTTGGCCCCTATGTGCCTCTGTGGCTTGGGTGCGAAGCGGGATTTTACGTGGATGCAGGACCTCCAACTCACGCCTTCAGCCCGTGCGGACACGTGTGCTCAGAAAAGACGACTGCATATTGGTCCCAAATTCCTCTTCCGCACGGTACTCACACTTTTCACGCGGCCTGTCCGTTCTGTGCGCATCAGCTGGCTGGTGAGCAAGGTTACATCAGACTCATTTTCCAAGGACCTCTTGACTAACGCATGTGTGAGCGAGGACTGCCGTAAACTGATAAGCTAAGCGATTCTGATTTTTAAACCAACTGTTTTTCATATTCTCTGGGCTTTGCTGGTTTGCATTAAGATGAAGAATTTTTGGGGTTTTGTTACAACAGCTAAATCCCTCTCCATTGAGAAAAGTCTGGATATGGAAGAAACACGGAGGGAGAAGGGAGAGAACTCCTGCTTTTTTTTAGTTAATAACCGCTCCTGGAGCAGTGAAGGAAGTGTTGTAAACGTTGATGCCTTCCGTTGAATGGTTTTGAATCACATGCCCACAGTGTTTGAAAGTTGTTTCATTCTTTTTGTATATGGAGGGTAAATAATTCAAAGAACATTAGTTTACAGCTTGGATGCAAACATTGTAAAATATAACGTGTATATTAACTCTTTTCTATTTATCTTTATTATTGAAAATACGTAGAACGTTTAGAGAGTAGCATGGTCTTAGTGTGTTACATCCAGCAACCGGATGCGTAGAGTAGTTCTGGATGGAGAACGCGAGATGGAAACGGTAGAAAAATCTTTTTTAATCTAAAATACTGAGTTCCTAGAATAGTTAAAATGCTTTTTAAACAAAGCTAATGCAAATTACGATGGCATAAAGGTGTGCTTTAACCATGTCGAAAGGTAGCTAAGAAGGACTTCTTAAAATGTCTTTTTGGTAGGACTGTACTGAAGATCTGGTTACGAGGAGAATATTTACCAGAGTCTTTGAATATGCAACTTAGCCTAGATTAAGGATTATTTTTTTTTCCTCCCTTCATGCTAACACATCTCTTTATTTAGCATTAGTGACATTTGCAAGGATTTTTCCAATGTTAAACGTTAACAAACCTGAAAGACAAGGCACACTGGGGCTGGGGGGAGAGGCGGACGCGCCCACGCGTGCGTGTGGGGAGCGATCTGTGACTCGGCCGCAGTCCCGGCTGGTGTGGGGCTTCTCCCTCGGATCTTCTGCCTGGCCCGAGGG